TTATTTCTTTACAATATAATTTTTTTTTTTTTACTTAATTAAATGTGTTATATATTTATACATAAATCCATGTTATACTATTTTATATTTTTTCTCTTTCTTGATAGTATAAAAGTGTACTTTTTTTTGACCAAGAAAAAAATAAAGTTGGAAGAATTATAAATTCTGAAAGAGAAGATATTTACTGTATATCTACAGATATTAATCATCTTAGTATTGGAAATAATTATTATAAAAATAATTTTCCTATATCTTTTTATTATTTAAATGATCAAATATCAAAATATCGTGACAAAAATATAGATGCATATTGTGTATACTTGTGTTACTGGATATATGTGGAAGTTTTTAAAAAATAACTTAATAATTATATCAAAATCATTTATGATGAATTCCTGAAGAAATGTAAAAAATTGGAAGGATAAATTTGCAGTGATTATAAGGAAATAATTACTTAAAATATATTGGTGAAACTTTATGATTTATATCATGTGAATTGTGAACTTAATAATTCAAATGGTGAATATACTATTAGTGACAAGTACATGTGTGCTAAAGAATGCTCAACAACATATATGAAATACAATATAGAATGTGAATTATATAAATATACCGACTTTTTTAAGGAATTAGATGAATTTAGAAATCGATAAAATGAAAAAATGAAAACTTTACGTTGTCCAAATATTGAATAACCAATATTACCTTATTTCCAAACATCTAATATAAAGTCTATTATTATAATTCCACTTCCTATAATATTAATAATATTCCTTGTTTTAGCTACTTTGTATAAAGATAATTATAATAGAAATTATATGTTTTAGAATTATAATGTAATTATTTTAAATAATTTAAAAAATACAGAACTTGTGATATATAAAATTGTATTTCTGATTCAAATATTTACATTAATTATTAAATATTTCAGCACATGTTCCTAATATCTTCGGAAAAGTATAATAAGGAGAAGGAATACCTATGATGGTATAAGTGAAGAAAATAGTATATGTAAGTATTCAAGAATACCTTGCAGTATGTCAACAAATAGGTGGTATTATATTTTATATAATTCTGAATATTATTATCATTAAATATATAATTTAAAAAAAATATATTTTAAATAAAAAAATTTATCAATCCTATTATACACAAAATTGCATTCTATATAATTTCACATTGTAATGAAGCATGTGCTGTAATAATATAATATAAAAACAAATATTAATTGGTATTTATAATAAGTTTATCTTTCTAATAAATAACACAATAACTACAAAAAATAGAAATAACTATATATACAAATAATTAATGACAGTCCTATCTGCAATTAACATTCTTGTCTTTTTATTCACGTTTTATGATACTCCATTAAAAGGATTTTTATCTATAAATTAGTATATTATTAACTCTTGTAAAAATACTCTGCATAGGGGAAATCAGTAATATATATCAAATTTATAAACCTTTATAATGCTTAGACACAGTTGATATAAATTGTTTCTATATATATCATAATATACCTTATTATATAGTAATAAAGAAAATAATAATTATACCCTTATAGTACATATATTAATAATTCTTTTTAATAAATATATTTAATTATAATTCATATAATTAAATAAACATACATTTGATGTACTATTATATTCAAATTATTGACACAAATGTTTTGTTATTATATACAAGTGTTTAATATAAGATATATAATTTATTTATCCAATTTTTTGGTTTTATTGTACGTAAATTTTTATCTCTATTTCTTTATATTTTTTTGCTCTTATTAATGCTTATAATTTATATATATATATAATAATTTGTAAATATTTATTTGTTTCTCTCTACATTAAATGAAATAAAAAATATCATATATTAATAAATAAATCATAGTAAATTATAAAATTGGCATTCTACAAGCATCAATAGATTGAATTCTTTGAATATTATTTACAACAATTAATATATTATAAATAGATAATATGATACCATATGTATCTATTTCATAATGGACTAGATTACCTTTGATATTAATAAATTTTAAAAGAAAACATCTCTAATTTTTTATCAGAAACAAATATACTCAAATTATATATAATATATTCTCAATAGTGTTTTTAAAAAAATAAATAAATAAAAATTACATATAAGTATAGAATATTCTTATAAAATTTATTAAATATACAATGTGATAAGTTAAAATCTGTGTAGTATTTAATATTAAATACACACAAAGTTCAAAATAATGATAATTCTATAATAATAATTATAAATATATTCTTCTGTAGAAAACGATTAAGGGTTCAGTATTCGATGAAATAACTATTAAATTTAATATATAATGTTACGAATTATATTTAGATCAAATATACAAAATATTATAAAATAGATTATATTAAATCATCTATAATAAAATGAAAGTATAAATATATTTAATCCATTCATACATACATAAGCAACCCTTTTTAATAACACTAAAAAGAAATACAATATATGTTCTAGGTTTCAACATAAACTTACAATATGTAATTGTGTAAAAAGTTCCATAAAATTTAAAATCATAATAGTAAACTCTAAGCCTGAAATCTTATGTCTTTGATAACCTCTATACTAACATGCAGAGAATTTTGTTATATCAATAAGAGATGATACATATAATAATTTAGAGAATGTCCATTATACTAATATACGTATTTTTCATTTATGTATCCATTTTCAAATATTTCTTTAAAAATGTTGTACATCTCCATGTTGTTTTGAGTATATAAGCTATAAATTTAATTTATATTATAATTCATGTTTGCGATATAATGCAAATTTTTTTTGTTTTAACTTAGATTAATATGACATATATATTAAATTGTGTATATTATATTTTCTTATCTTAAATAATTACCATTTATACTAAAAAAGTATCGAAAGTGAAAATAATTATAATTTTAATAAGGTATTTAATATGTATTCCTTAACATTTCACACGGAATTCTTAGCAGGTATAATAGCAAAAAAAACATTAAATTTTATAAAATAAAAAATATATCATCCATATGAGACTTATAGTATTAAATAAAACAAAAAAATATTTATAAAGGACCGAATGTTATATAGTAAATCAATTTATTTATAAAGTATAAAAAATGAAAATTTATATGATTATTTCATACAAATATTTCTACTTTACCATATATATATTCATCTTTAACACAACTTTCTTGAATGTACATTATAGAAATAAAATAATACCTTAGATAATTCATTTTGTACATATATAATATATTCTGTTACGCTTATATAATATGAAAAAGAATAAGTGTCTTATATAAATAGTTTTATTTGTTATACATTAACTAATTTATATCATAGTATAATAAATTCTACCCTTGTGAAATTTAAGGTTATAATAAATTTACAAAATTCTTTTATCATAATATGCAAAAAATTATTTCTATATATTTTTTATAATTTTAAAAAAACTAATATTTATATACCACCAGGAAAAAGATGAGTTTAGCAACTATTTATTGCTGCAAATATATAGTGTATATATTATATCCTAAAATAATGAATGAGAGCAAAATTACGTTAGTCATAATTAAAATATATTTAAAACAATACATATTTAGCTTATTAATTATTTATCATTTTTTTATCGTATTTAATATTATGTAAAATACAGTTTCACTAAAAACGAATTCTGTTATATGTTAAGCAAATTTTAAACTAAAGTAATATTATTCTATCTATTTTTTAGCATGTTCATGGTTAATGAATATTCTAATTAATTATCTATTCGTCCAAAATGATATTTGGTAGATATTAAAAATTTATTTATTATATTTTAAACGAAAAATTCAAAAAAATTCGTATATCAATATTGCTGACTCATAATAATATAGAATATAAATTCTGAATAATAATATATTTACTCTTAGGATGATTTAGTTATTCATATTTTTTAAGGAAATTTTTAACTGAAATCATTTACAACAAAAAAAAATAATGGACGCATTATGTTATAGCATAATATTACATTGATATAACGCTTATAAAAAAAAAAATAAATTTATAATATAATAAAGACAATGTAATATAACAATTATATATCACTTTAATTGTCGTATTACATAACTTTGTGCATATTAAAATCTTTTAATTATAAAATTAACGTACAAGTAATATATATAATTAAAGAAAGTCAAATTATATGTACAATAATAATATAAATTCAGTATACATATAATATTCTTATAGCGTATATGAGCTATACTTAATATTGATAAATGCCTTTATAATGTTAGTACTACTATATATCATATATTCACATAATATGCAATATAATGTTTTATTATTTCAGCATAATATATTGAATCTTATATATGTATAATTTATACTAATTACCTTCATAAAATATAATAAAAGTCTATTCATATTTTTTCTGTAATTGAAAACGTATTAAGATATAAGCGTTACATTTTTTGAATATAATCTATTAGCATAAACCATAAATCATATAATGATATATGCACTGGTTCTATAATTATGTATATTTATATATTTTTCATAAAATTAAGCAAAATTACGTATATGAACATTCTATAATATAATTATTGATTATATGAATTTATATTATTTAATTTATTCTTTATGATAACACTTTTTTATATAAAATTATATATATAACTATATTATAAAAGTATATATAACGTTTAATAAATCAATATTATTCCAAAATTGGAAATTTTTGCTCATTAATATATATTTTTTTTGAAAATATATTCCTATTTGCCAGAACATGTAATATAATAAACATTTAACTCACATATGTATTGAATTAAAAATATATGTTTGAGTAAATTTTATTAATTAATATTATTTACACCATTTAGTATATATTCATTAAATGTTATTTATCATTATATTAATATATTTTTTATATATATAACAAAAAATAAATAATAAAGCATTTGATACTTTTCTTATATTTTCTTATATAAATCCATATGGTTGACCTAACAACTGAAGAAAACGATGTATGCTTTATATTGCTATAATTATATTTTATTTTATATAATTTTAAAAATATATCAGGAAAAATCAAGCAAGAAAATATATCCTAAAAATTTAATTTATATAATTGTATATATTCTTAAACTCATTCATAGTTTGATTTTACTGGTATATTTCCCAATTGTAGAAATGATTTTAATTATTATTGGGACAGGCGTTTTTCAGAAAGAAAACAATTATATAATGATTATTCAAGCGTGTGCAGTGATTATATTAAAAATATAAAGGCTTATAAGCTTGGTGACATGGCTTTTCAAACAGATTGCATAAAACTGGGTTTATATTTAAATTATATAGAAGACAAAAATAAATCAGGAAAAAACTTTTACTTAGAAGCATCCTGTAAATATTTTTTTTACCATTTAAAAGATCTAGTGAAGAAACATGGAGGTAATTGTAAAACAACAAATAACTGCTACGAGTTGTTTATTAAAAAAAATACAACGCACGGTGTTAGTAGAATTAGCGTGCCTAATATATGCCTTCAAAATGCAAATGATAATGATATTGATGAAAATATATTTAAAATATTGAGTCTTCTGGACAATCTGTATAATTTAATTGAGATTTTTAAAAAGAGAGAACATAGAACCTATACCAATGTAAAGGCATTTGATTCGAATATGAACAGTTTAGAAAAATATCCAGCTACATATAATAAGAGTCTTAATGAAGAATTAGAAAAAATTTTTAAAGAATTTAAAAATTTCTTTAAAACCTGGTCTACATGGTGGTATGGTAGTAGTGCTTTGCCTTACTTCTCTAAGAAATGGAAAGATAGAAATACTTTCAGGCACATAGAAAAAAGCACAAATTCAGGCACATACATTAGTGCAAGTTCAATTGTAAATACAAGTACAGAAACAAGTGCAAATATAGAAGCAAGTACAAGTATGGGAACTAGTGCTGAAGTAATTTTTTTTTGCTTTGCAATTATATCAATTTTGTTTGTTTTGTATAAAGTTAAAAATAAATTTTTATTTATTTATGTTATATTACAATTTATATTTATATAATAATGAAAATATATAAAAAAATAGATTAAATATATATAAATATATGAAACAAATGCTTTATTTTCAGTATACGACGTATGGATCATTTTTACAACCAAGGGTACGAAGGTTAAAAAAAAAGTTTAATAAAAAAAATAGAAACCATCAGAACTTAATAGATTCATTTCATAGGACAAAACATAATTTAAATTATAATGGTTACCCAATAGCATATGCCTCAGAGAACTAATATTCATAAAAATAATATTGGTGCAAATAAAGTGAAAATATATTTAAGAAATAAAATAAATCTAATAGAATTACATACTTCATACGTGTGAATAAAATTAATTTGAAAGCAAAAATATTTTAAAATATAACAAATATAATATGAAAAACAGTTTATATATTTTTGTATGTTCTATATATAAAGTATGACGTTTTATATATTTCATCAGCATGAATCATAATTGTAACTATTTTACATAAAGAACAAACCATTATTTATCTATATATATAATTATATTATTATTAAACATTTAAAAATATATGTTACCAAATATAAAAAAACACCTACGTTTATGAATTTTTAATATTCTATGAGCTGTAATTCCATATTTTTCCTGATTATATGGATTAACATAATAATATATAGGTTTGGTCTTTAGGATTTAAGATATATGTATTAACGATTAAGTTAAGATTTTGATAATAGTATTCAGATATTTTTTACAGTGTTATTCATTTAATGGATTTTTATTTTTCAATGATTTTGATTCAATTTATTAATAGTTTGTATATATAAACTTACCAGCAATAAATATTATGAAAAGAAATATACAGTTAAGTACCAGATAATATATAAATTTTTTTATTTCTGTCAAGATAATGTATTTTATGAAAGATAAATAAAATTAATACTCTATATTAATAGCCTATATTCTATTATTATATATTTTACGTATGTATGTTATATAATAATCACATACTATACATAACGCTGGACTTTATAATAAATTTGAATATAAAGGGCTCTAATTCTTTCTTTATATAACAAAATTCTGCGAATGGAATTTATGTATTTTTTATTATATTTTCTTAATCCTTTATAAAAATGCTGATTACATTAATTATTTACATATTAAATTTGTTATGTTATTACATTTAATTTTTTTTTTTTTTAATTCAATTTAATCTTTTTACTTTTAATGAATAAGCTATACATTCATTGTACTTAATACAACAATAATACATTAATATTATTCTTATTTATTATGAAAAATATAATACATTTTTTAATTCATATATATTATCATATTTTGATTTATCTTTATATAATATTACAAGCGTATTATAAATATATTAAAAATAATATTTATATACGTGTATTATTCTAAAAAAGTAACACAATTATTTATAATTATACTAATAATGATACGTTATGTATACAAATATTTCATAATGAAGGAGATAGATATATTTATAAACCTATGCTGATTTATATTAAGAAATATTTTCTCAAAACAATTTACAATTATTCTTATTTATTTAATGATAGTATCAGTATATATATAAATTTA